CCCAGCCTGCCAGTCACTGCCAAAGGGAAGGAACTGAAGCTCTAAGGCTTTCCCTCTCCCTGCTGAATGGAGGGGGCGTGGCCAGACCCCAGCCCTGGGCTAGCTAGGGTCTACCTGGGCAGGGTGGGGGCAGGGGGAAGCCCCTGCCAGGCTGAGGTGGGGGTGGGTGGAGAAAAAGGTGGTGGCATTGAATTCATAAAAGCTTGAACAAGAATAGTCCTTTCTCTAAAGTGAGCACATATTGAACACAGCAATTTGCAACCTCAAGCACACAACAAAGAACCACAAAAAATCTTCACTTAAGCTAAGATACAGCCCAGTGAAACACAGTGAGAGCAGACACAAATTAGTCTAACTTAAAATAGAATGTAATAAATCAAAAAGATAAGAGAAAGCCTTGTATGTACTGTGTAATGTAATGCCTTGTGTGCATTGGAAATGTGACGTGTGTGTGTAATAGAAGGAAACAACCCTACGGAGTCCTGCTGGCTGTGACCGTGGACTACAAATCCCAGAGGCACCTGGAAGAGCAAGTGATGAGGAACCCTGAAGAGTCCTGCTGCTGTAAGTCTGGACTGCAAATCCCAGAGACCTCAGGGGCAGCAGGAAGAGGAAGTGGTCACACAGCCCATGCTGGCTATATGCCAGAGAGTCCAAGCTGAATGGAATGAGAGGGTTGCCTCTGCACAGCAGATGCCTTCTGGGAGCAGAGACTGAGGGGCAGTCCCTCTCAGGCTGTTTTTCTGCCCCCCGCTACCCTCAGCCCTGCCCCCCACCCCTCTGCTCCAGTGTTGAGTAGGGAATAGCTTGGCAGGGGCTGTGCCCCACCCAGGCAGACCCTGTTGTGGTCCCCAACTGGGTTTCTGACTCCCATCCCCTTCTCAGCCAGCCCTCACTGATCCAGCTAGGGAGAAGAGGGGTGAGGCCAACCTTGCTCTCTGGAGCAGGCAGAACAGTGCATCCCAGGGTTGCAAAGCATCCTAGGATGCTGGGGGACTCTGATTTAACTTTAACTAGGAAGGGGTCTGAGACAGAAGTTTCATAAACTGGTTTGACCAGTGGTGATGTGTAGAGGATGCATGGGGGTACATGTGCACCCCCTGAGAACGCTGGTGCACCCCCTGACAGGTTGCGCTCCCCCCCACTTAGGCAACGGGCAGGGGGGGCAGGTGGGAGCACCAGTGCCCCCCCGCGAGCGCTGGCTGGGGAGTGGGAGCGCCTGGATGAAGCACTGCGGCTGCTTCCCAGTCAGCACCATCAGCTGCAGGGGAACCCTGCCCCCCCAGTCAGTGAGATTGGCCATGGGGGGGACTCTCCCTGGTTGCTGACTGGTCACTGTGGGGGGGGGGGCACGTGCCCCCCGACTAAGGTGGCACCAGTTACTCATGGGTTTGACCTAAATCAGTTAAGTCTGAGACTACATTCAACCAGGTTTACCTTAAACCAGCTTCAGCTATTTGAAACTGGCTTATGTGCACTGAGATTCTGTTCTGTTACAGGTTTAAACCAGTTTTTGATTACTTAAATCAGTTTATGTGTAACTTCTATATTGCTAATTAAAGATTATATAATAATACACTGGGCAGCCAACACCACATGGACATTAAGGGTGTGCACTTTGAAGTGTTTGTAGAGTGAAGAAGCTATTATTGATTTGTCAATATTTTTGAGATTGAAGTAAGCAACAAAATCAAAGGGTACTCTATATCAGTGTTTCTCAACCTGTGGGTTGTGACCCAAAAGTGGGTTGCATGAATATATGAAAGGGTTGTGGACAAACTTAAAAAATGGATCAACAAACTGGATTCTACTTTAAAGAAGAAAAACTTAGGAAACTGTGGCTTTTCCCTTGCAGTTCCAGCCTACAAGGGGAATTCCGGCCTGCAAGGAGCTGCTTGGTGTCCTCCGTGCCTCACATACCCACCCCTTGCCCCAAACACTAAGGGCCTGGGGCCCGGTAGTGGCGGGTAGAGGGTCGGGAGTAAGGGGCACTGGGTTGGGACTGGCCATCGATGTTTACAAATGGCTGCTGGTAAAAAACGGTTGAGAACCACTGCCCTATAGGACTGCTAGTGTCAGATAACACAAGCCAAAATAGCTACTTCTAAACAAAAAAGAGTTATAATTACCTAGTCTCTCTTCTTGTTACACATTTGGAATCAATTACCAGGCAGTGCCAGATGTTGAAGTATGCCTCACTGTGTCACTGAAGAGTCTATCCCCAATGTCTGAAGCCTGGAGTTGGAGTAATTGGAAATTAGTGAACAAAACATGGACACTGCAGTTTTCTGTGCCTATGCAAAACAAAGAATGTCAAGATTCTTTTTATATGTGTACATATATATGTATAGGTATGTGTGTGTATATATATATCTATATATAGATATAGATCTATATATCTATCTATATATATCTATAGATCTATCTATATCTATCTACATATATATATATTTCCAGGCATTCTTACCTTTTCTTTTTAATAAGAAATCTGAAAGAGGTGCTGGTCTCTCCCAGTTCTTAAAACATGATACTGTTTTATTGTACAATATCATACAATTATATATAGGATATTATTTGTTGTATTTTTGTATTCACTAACTGAATTTTATTAAAAGCTATTAAAGTTTCTTAACACCTTTGTATATGCTGTTTGTCTGTCTCCCTAGGACTCACTAATGTAACCAATTGCTTTCACTGCATGGCTTTATGCTTCAAGGTAAGATAGGCAAAACATCAAACAGAATATTTTGTGTTTGTACCCTACACTATTACAGAAGTTTTCCATCTTGCTACTTCAGGGTCTGCTGCTATAACCTCTCCCCCATCACATCTTTTTTGTTGGTATTTTAATCCTTTGTAGGAACTGCTTGAGTGATTGACTCCAGAGAGGCAGGGCACTTTGTTATAGATTCAAATAAACCTTCGTTACAGATTCAATTCTTGGACACACACTGGCTCAGAATAAACATAGGTAGCAGTCCAAGAACCCCCCTTTGCATAGGGCCAACTTTGTTTTTTGCTGGTGGGTGCTTGCAGACCTGAAAACACCCCCAAAAACCCATCACTTTACTTTTAATGTGGCATGTTCCTGTGCCGAGCCCTGTGCATGCCCAGAAGAGACAGAAGCTCTGCAGTGTCTGTAAAGATCAGGTGCACTAGTGGGGCTATTTTGGCACTGTTACCTAATTGCTGATTGAATCAGCTTTAGCTAAAAGCATGCTGCTGAAGTGCCTGATCTTTACAGACACTGCAGAGTTGGGTTGAAGTAACTCACTGTTTCTTCCAGTAAAGTGCATTTTTTTTAACGTCTGCAAGCGTGACTGCGTGCGTGCTGAGCATCCACTAATCTTTTTTGGTGGGTGCTTGAGCCCTGGAGCACCCATGGAGTCTGCACCTGTGCCCCTTTGTAGTTTATTGGCAAAGGGATTACTGAACCATTAAAAAAAGGTATAGCTACAAGTCCGCTTGCATGTTTCCTGTTCTGGGACCTTGATCTTGTAAACATAGGATAATACTTCCCTTCTCTGTGTTATATCTTCTTGAACATCTCTAGATTCTTAAACACATTTTCAGTGATCTTGTTTCTAGATTCTGGTTTCTAGATTCTTCCCCCCTGCCAATATTAATTCAGGAAAGAGTGGGGCACCTGATAAATATGCAAATGAGTGTGTGAATATTGGCAGATCTCTCAGATCCTTAAATGTGGGCTGCTCCTTGTTCATTCTTTCACTGAGAGGATTCTGTTTTCACTTTATTTATTACTGCCCCCAATTCACTCTTGCTTCTTATACTGGAATTACAAAGTGAAGTTTTTCCAGGCAGTCAAAAAGAGTTTTTCAATTCTATCATCAGTTGGTACAACTGACACCTTCTCGTGCAGATTACTTATCTCACCTGAGAAGTTAGTAGCCTGTGGGTATGTCCCCTTTAGCAGCAGAAAGTAGGAATGCCATAAGACTGGATTTGCTCCAAAATTCAAATTGTGCAACTTTTAAAAAATGCATTTCCCAGTGCAAACAAAGGTTTTGGTAACTAAGGGTTAAAGTGTCTTCATTGAAGGTATAAATTGTTTTAAACAGTAAAATCCTCAAAATATCTCCCAAAAAGGCAAAACTAACTCATATGTAGTCTCATAGCTTTTGCTTTGCCCACAAGGTGGAGCTGAATTCACACAAAGAATTAACTGTTTTCCTTTGTGTTACACAATGGATGAAATAATGGCTCTTACAATGCAAGGATGAGGAATCAACTATGGCTGCCAGGGAGAATAGCATGATGTATTAAAGTTCATGAGAGTGAAATAAAGCAAACCTCTCATTTTAATTTGATTTATTCTAGGGCGGTCAATTAATTGTAGTTAATACGCATGATTAAGTTGTTAATTTTTTTGACGCATTAATCACACACGTAGTTTTGCAGCCAGTGCTGGGGCTCTGCTTTGCCACCTCTGGGCCTCCCAGTGGGGCAGTAGTGGCAGTGCAGAGGATTGCAGGGCAGCATGGGGGCAGGCTCCAGGTGGCTATTATGTCTGGGGGAGTGAGTGGGGGTGGTGTGGACACAGACAGACACACAGAGCAGCCGTAGCCTGCATATGACCAGGAATACAGCCCAGCATGTAGAGCAGTACCACGTCATGCTGGTAAGTTGGTGGTGGGGGAGAGGTGGAGGGAGAGGAAAGGGGCAAGGGGCAGATCGAGGCCTCCATGGTGAGAGAGGGAGTGGGGCAGGTGCTGGGCCCCCCCCAGGGGGGTGGGTCTTGGGACAGAGCTGTGGCCAACTTGTCCAGGGATGCGTGCACCCCCAGGGGAAAGCATGAGGGGCATGTGCCCCTCAGATCTGTGCTTGGGGAGCTGTGCCTCCTGCTGCCTAGTGGGTAGGAAACATGTGGTGTGGCCAGCACATGGTTCCTGGGGCAAAAGTAGCAGGGCACAGAGCCCCAGCCTGGAGCAGGTAGCCAGCCTCTGCTCTGTACACAATCCAGGGACACATGCCCTCCATGCCTCCCCCAGGGGTGCATGTAGCACTGGGGAGCTGCGCCCCCACCATGCCCCTGGATGAGCCACCCACAACTCTGTCCCATGACCCACCCCCAGCCCTGGGACCCATTCACCCCAGGCCTGTCCCTGTCCCACTCCCTCCCTCACCATGGGGGCCTCAATCTACCCCCCCACCACTTCCCTCTTCTGTTACCTCTCCCCCTCCACAGACTTACCTGCTGGGTGTGGACAGTGTGTGCTTGTGTGCGTCTCCATCTCTGTGTGTGTCTGTCTCTGTATGTGTGTGTGAGTGTGTGTCTGTGTCTGTGTGTCTGTGTGTGTCTGTCCCTCACTCCCAAGCCACAGCCTGCTGCTGCCCCTCGCTCCTGACCCGTAATGCGGGGACCCCCCTTCCTGGGGTCCAAACCCCTCCCCCCCACAGCCCCCTACACCTTCACAAATTGTCCCCCAGACACCCCACAGCCATCCCTCAACTATACAAAGTACCTGCATAATTTTGAGTTTTTAGCTGTGTGATTAAAATCACAACTAATCACAATAATTTTTTAAAATAATTTGACAGCCCTAAATTCTAAGGTAATTCTTTGTTGGTTTTGAAATGGTGTTTCTTAATCATCAGAACCCTTAACAGCTTTTCTATTATCCAGATGATAACTTAAAAGGTGGTTCCTATTTTATGGAACCAGCCATTTTACTGGTGTTTGCAGAAACCACTGTTTTTGTGGTTTCTGCAAAAATTGTGAAGTTGTGATCTGAGTAGGTTCCTAATTATTACATCTGACAAAGTAGGCTATTGCCTATGAGTTTCTGAACAAGTTAGTTTATATGGTGCAACCCTCCCCTGCCTTATAGATGATTTCTAACTAACATGGCTAACTACCGGTCTTATAATTGCCATCTCACAGTAAATATTATATTAAATTTTATAAACCTCGCAGTAATTTTATATTAAAATGCTGACTGGTACACTGCTTTTTAGAGGTACTGTAATGAATATAGTTATTCTTTCACTGGAAAAAAAAGCACAAACACTTTGGAACTGCATAAAGTCTCACTGGGTGAAGTGTGAAACTGCAGAGACCATATCTGTTGTGGGCATATGGCTACTGGGTATTGAGTGTAATAGCGAATCCAAGTGCAGGGATTTACATACTGTATACATAGACAAATATCATGCAGCTATGAGCCAGTGACAGCAAAACAGCCATTGTTGGCTGACACTTTAGAATAATAATGCCAGATAATCAGACTGCTCTGTGGATAGTCACGGAGGAACTGATCTCAGTTCCTTGTCTTCGTCTCTCCCACTTATTACTGTATACTTTGAACATACTATTTTACCCCAACTGCCTTGAACTGAGCATGTATGCCATTCTGTTATTTTCAGTACATTAAATGGGCTGTATTAGAAGTTTTCTGAAAGGATGGGGGAGAGGGGCAGGAACCCCTATCCTTGGCTTGAGGTCACTAATATAGCATCAGGATTAGATTTACCCTCATCTGTATTGTGCTCCTTCACAGCATAAAGGCTGGCCAGTAAGTCTACTTCACTTTTTCCTCTCTTCATGCTAAAGAGCAGTGTGCCCATATGGAACTGTGTACATAATTTACAAATATTACTGCATCTAGAATCCTCATGTGAAAGTGGGGCCAGCATTAAAAACATAATTCTGAGCTCTGAACACATCTCCAAGTCCATCTTTCTGTCCTACTCTAACATGCCCTTTTTCAAACATGCAGAAAAAGATTCATAAAAGTATCACACTTACACATAAGGGTGAAGTTACATGTTACACTTAGAATGTACTAAGGGCATTTAAAATGCAAACATCTGCATATTAAAGTTCATTATGTTCTGCTAAGTGCCCTCTAAGCATCTGAAATTTACACCAATTCAGGCAAGGGTTAAGTCTGGGTCATGTTACTTACCTTATGTTAGTATAACTTCAGTCTGCTCCATAGTAAAAAAAGAGTAATCTGCAGTTCTCCAGCATCCTAGAACATACTGCACCATTCTTTCCTTGAAAAGGGATAGAACCCAGGAGCGCTTGTATATGTGACAGGGGTTTCATCCCCAAGGTTTTATTTTATGTTCTCTAAATTGAAATGGTGGGTTTTTAACTGAAACCCACCATTTACATTTTTCTGTTACATTATGGCAAGAGGCCAGATCCTTTTTTTTTTTTTTTTTGGCAGAGCTGAAGCCTGCCTGAGGCTAGGGGGCGAGCTGCTGGCTGG